CGTTACCTTCGCTTCTTCTTTGAACTGTATCAGCAAAGGTCTGGTTCGTCCATAATCAACTTCTGATGTTTATTTTATTTATTGCTTCTCGTTTGACAAATTTGCCTTTCGAAGATTATTACTTAATTATTATATGCAACTTTTAGGATATAGCCTAAACCCAATCGTAAATGAACATGGCTACTGTTAAGTGTAAATTACCTGCAGAAAATAAGTACACACCTACATTCTATAGTAGTAAGTGTAGGTAAACTTTACTTTTCGTAAAGTATTAGGTTTTACAAAATTGAGGAAAGGTAATACAAAAAGTTTTACTTTTCACTCGTGAAATCTATTAAACTCTCATAAAATCATGGAAATAGCTTACACTCCAAATTGTTCAGTTGAATAATCACAAATGGCAAAAGCAATGTAGGGTAAAGAACAATCCAATATTTCTCTTGCAGTTTTCTCGAAAACATTCTTCGACCCTTGGTACGACAGTTACCCCTATTCATTTAGAAGGACCTTATGTACAGTAAAAGGTAGAAGTTAATTCTTTAAGGTATATTATACCTCAAAAATATAGGAAAAATTGCTGGAATTTTTTTTTTTTACTATTAACACAATCAGAATCTTTGATATATTTTAACGTTGCGAAACCCGTTTTATTATCCGATCTTTCGTTTTGTTTTTATTTGGATATTTATGTAGCCTTGCGTTAGGAGAACCACGCCCCCTTTTGAAAAAGTCACACCCCCCCAAAAAAAAATAAAACTGCCAAATCAGACCACCAAAAAGTAAGAATAGAAGAAAATATTTAAGAGGAGGATAGAAAATAAGAGAAGATATAGACATGTGAAAAAGGCAGAACCTATAACCCTGAAGCTTGCTAGAGCAAACTTCAGGGTTATAGGTTCTATGTAAACTTAAAAGGTTCTATGTCTATACAAACTTAAAAGCCATTTCCCCAAAAATTGACTTTTTGGTTGTCATTGGTAACCTTAAAACTCGTATCTCCGGTTCTATGTAAGATAACCCTCTGATTTTGTTTTGTTATAATTCAGAAATATAGCTAGTGCATGAACCAAAACTAAAATTTGAACCAATTATGTCATGAAGAAACATTTATTTTTAAAATTTAATTTTTTGATATTTTAATTTCCTGACAAAAAATATTAATACTAATGGTACAAATATTGTTTAATTTCAGTCACAAGTTAAAGTCATCAGTTTTCACGAGAAAGAAAGAAATAAAGGAATGGAGATAGTAGTTCTAAAGTTATGTCACAGCTCAGGGACTATTTCTGTACCCAATATTCCTCACAAAATAAATTTTCAAACGTTTTTTAATGTTTTGTTTTTTCTGTAAACATATTTTTCAATAAATATATGAAAATCATTATTAAACAATATTTAAAATATTCGCATGTTTGGGTTTTGTAACCTTAATGATAACTGCAAAACTTTATCTTATATGAATCTTCTTTATTATCTTCTTATTTATCTTCTACGCAGCAAACGTGTTCTGTTTAGTTGTTACCACCGGTTCAAACGCAATATAATATATTGAATGAGTGTTCCAGTATAAAAAATTAGTACATTCTTTATTTGTAATATGTACGTTGGCTTCTAGGGAGGGGGTGAAGGTCTATTAGGGCGGCCCCTCCCCCTTGAGTGCGCCAGTGTACAGTGCTTCTCTATCGTAGCAGTGGGTTGTATATCCCGGAATGTTAAACGCCACACCAGGGATTAAATGTGTCCCTGTGACATAAGCTATCTCGATATGTAATGATGTAGGAATATTTTTAACATATTTTCTAGGCATTTCAGAGAGTTTACATTCCAGCTAAGAATATCTTGTGGACATTATATGAGGCGTTGAAAAACCAATCTACTGACTCCTTTTTTTCTAATATTGAGAATGATAACATTACTATGATCCATAAGTAAATATACTGAAGAACCAAAAAACTGGTACAGCCAAGCTTATTGAAATAAAGAAATCTGGGACCCATAAGAATACGGCGCCCCGGTCGGCAACGACTATATTAGACAACCAGAGTTTGGCACAGTTGTTAGGTCGGATGCTGTTACAGTGGCAGGTTATCACGATTTAAGCGAGTTGGAGCGTAGTGTTATAGTCGGCGCAAGAGAAATGGGCAATAACATCTCCGAGGCCGCGTTGAAATTTGGATTTTCCCGTACGACCATTTCACGCGAGTGCCGTGGATATTGGAAAGCCGGTAAAACATCAAACTTCCGACATCGCCGCGGTCGCCAAGCGATTGTGCAAGAACGGGACTGACAACACATGAGGAGAATCATTACACGTGACAGAAGTACAACCCTTCCGCAAAATGCTGCACATTTCAATGCTGGGCCATCAACAAGTGTCAGCGTGCAAACCATTCAACGAAACATTATCGATGAGCGTTTCGGAGACGAAGGCCCACTCGTGAACCCTTGATGACTGCACAGCACAAAGCATGTCAACAGGGAACTGTTCAAACTGGTGGAGGCTCTGCGAGCGAGGGTATGGGGCGAATGCAGTTGGATATGATATGGCACCCCTGATACGTATAGATACTACTCTGACAGGTGACACGTACGTAAGCATCCTGTCTGATCACCTGCACCCATTCATGTCCTTTAGGCATCCCGACGGACTCCGGTAATTCCAGCCGGGCAATGCGACAGGCCACACGTCCAGATTTCCTACAGAGTGTTTCCAGGAACACTCTTCTAATGAAATAATTATATGCGTCGTCATTGCCAACAATATTATTTATTAAAAGAGCAGCTTTCGATGACTTAGCCATCATCATCAGTTTTCTGTTGTATGGAAGCCACAAAAACGACTAGTAGTTAGTACGAAACGTAGTCTTTTTGTGGCTTCCATACAGCAGAAAACTTATGATGATAGCTAAGCCATGGAAAGCTGCTCTTTTAATAAATAATAGTGTTGGCAATGACGAGTAACAACCCTGGGGAATAAAAATCGGACTCGGCTAAATGCCGGTCCCCAATTAAAAGTTACATGCACCTGCCACCGCGATAATGTTACTGAGCCGCGGTAAATGCAGGGTGGATGCATGCATGCGTGGTCCTAGTTGGCCTTTTCGCGAAAGAAAGAAGAAAAATAATATATTTATTTTCATCGGATCTGTTGTGGATCTTGTTAAGTAAAATTGTCTTAACATGAGATATTACAATATTAAAAATACTTTTATAATAATCTCATTAACTAGTGGTGCTAAAATAGCACAAACTTTCTCGTCCTTAGTATACAAATACGGCCATACCTACGCAGGACTTGAACCTGCAAAATTAAAACCTCCTCGGCGGAGACGACGGCTGCTGCAATGTCTGCGCCACGGGGCCAGCTTGTTGTTGTTGTTGTTGTTGTTGTTGTTGTTGTTATTATTATTATTATTATTATTATTATTATTATTATTATTATTATTATTATTATTATTATTGAGTCACATATGCAATTAAAATCGTGTATGACGAGTCAATATGATGCCTTGGATGGAGAGAGCGAAGTTACATTACTGTTCAGGAGCAATCAAAGGGGTCATCTGAGCATTTGCTCACAGGACCAGGGAAACTGAACAAAACCTGTTGGAGATAGGGTCATTGGCCTAGAAATACAATACTTGTTACAGTTAGATTAAGATATTATGCACTTATAAATTACCTGCTAATAATTAACATTTCAATATGTTATTTTAATGCTACTACTTATAATAATAATTATATTAATACATAATAATTACATTTATGAATACATATCAACTTATGTTTGCAACTACATCAAATTTAACAATAGTAGTACATTTATAACTTATATATAAATCATATATATAATATATATATATAATATATATATAATATATATATATATATCTATATATAATATATAATATATACTTATATTTATATATAGTAATTATTATTAACTTGAATGGTGAGGAGGCAAGTTTTGACCCTTTCTTTTTTTTTTCTTCCCTTCTATTCTCTTATTTCACAGGATGCGATATGCAGTTCTTTTTTCTTTGCTCAGCCAAACAGTATCATGAACAGAAAGTTTAATGGATAAGAAGTTCTTTTTTATTTATATTTTTGGGGAAATGGGGAAATGTTATAATTTGAAAATTCCTTTTACCTGTAGAACATTGTTGTTAAGCAGGAAAGCTTTCCATTTTACTTTTAAATGTATGAATTGTGTTTTGTCTTTGATATCATTGCTAGGTTGTTGTAAAGTGTAATGCCTCTATTAGGGTTACTTTTTTGATAAAGTGTAAGTTTAGAGTGGGGAACGTGTAGGTTATCTTTGACGTGGTGTGTTGTAGTTGTGTACATCAGAATGTTAAAAGTAAAGTGTCTTTGTTTCCATGAGGATTGTCTTTGTGAAGACCACTATTTCAAATATGTCAATGCAATGGTAGAGGAAGAATCCTTAGTTTATTAACAAGGGTTTGCAAGACTCCAGCTTATGAGTGCTGGTCATTGTTTTGCAATATTTTTTTTGGAATAATAAAATGTGCGAGTGCTTTCAGGGGCATTTCCTCAGAATATCTATTTCAATATTTTTAGGTGTGAGTGACATGCAAATAGATTGTTCGAAGGCCCCGTCCCCCTCTCAATGGTTGGAGCTTGACCTGAGGGTGTATCGGGGCATAGCAAGATTTGCTGAGCTTCTTGTTGAGATTTGAGATGTGAGTGTTCCATTTTAGATTTTCTTGAATTGTTAGTCCAAGGAAGGTAGTTTCATGAGAAAGTACATAAGGAAGGTAGTTTCAAGCAGTATAATTACAATACTTCTGGAATAATACTAAGTACTGTCAATAGATATGAAAGAATTATTTATCCAAAGGCAACATTTTGGATGTATTAAACAAGCAATATGCAATATTATTTGGTGGGTGTCGTCTTTCTTTCATATTACGCGCGCCTAAAACGGTACTTCAAATTCTAGGAGAAAAGAGTAGAAATATTGTACTGCTGTAATCGTTTTGGCCTGGTAGAACGTGTAACCCAAGTGTATTTCAAGATGGCAGCTTGAATGTCTTGTTGAATGGTGTGCTATTTGTCAGATATAACTTTGTGAATTTATATGTGTGACCAGCCTTTGGAGTATTTTATATAATCTGTTTTTTGGGATCAGATGCGACAGTGTGGCAGTGCGTGAAACGTCATGACGTATCATATGTTCATTTTCGTATGTTGACTGACTGTCAGTGAAAGTGGGTGGTCACCGTATTTTTTGACTTTTCATTGTAATTAAGAGTGTGTCCGATATAAGCGAAGCTTTTTTGCGTGTTTCAGATAAAGTGCTGAATGAATATGTTTGCAAGTTTGAAGAATAAAATTAAAGAAGAAACGGGTAGTGACCTAACCAATCTTCCAATTTTAGGTAATCAGACACTAAAACTAGGTTCAGGACGATTTAGGGGAAAACATTCGCGACAAGGATCAGGTTCAAGTATTGGGAGTATTTCTCTAGAAAGTGTTACCGATGAACATCCATCATCTCCTTTGTCTTTAAGCAAACAAGATGTGTCTGATGTGAAATTTGAGGAAGGAAAAGTAAGTATTTTTTCTCCTTATAGCGATTTATTAAATAATAATATAAAAACATTAAATGCTATAAAAAATTGTCTTAATTAAATCAAGAATGTGTGCATTTTTTACAGGTTTTAACTGCCAAAGAAATTAAACGTCTTGAAAAAAGAGAAGATGAGTGGAGAAAAATTTTACAAAAGAAAGAGGATGACTGGGCCAAAAAAATGGAAAGGAAAGAAGAAGAATTCAAGAAACGACTGGATGACCAGCAGAAAGAGTGGAAGAGATCTTTGGAATTGCTGGAAAAAGAGAAGAATGTTTTAGAAGATGAGAAACGAGAAGTAGTGAAACAAAAATTAAATTTAGAAGATGCTCTGAAGGTTGCAGAAGGTATTTTATGCTTTATGTAACAATTTTGTGGTTTTGAACTAACTGACTTACTGAGAGGTATAATTTTTATTTTAGAATATAAGAAAAAGGTTTATCAGTATCAAGAAGACATTGATCAGTTAGAAGGCTTCCAAACGCAAGAAATGGCTAAAATCAAACATCTGGTAATTATGTAAAATATTGTATGAAACAAATAGACAGTGTTCATACAGTCATGAAAAAGAAAACCTACATTATAATTCAATTTTTCTTATTGTAGTTACTTGTTAAGGAGCAAGAATTGGCAGAGAAAGATGGCGTCTTAAAAGAGAATTCTGATCAAGTTGAAGCTTTGAAAGCTGAAGTCGGTAGATTACATAGATATGAAGAGGAGCTTAATAATGTGCAAGTGAGTTGATTATAATCTGTTCCTGTGACGAGAGTTTGCTTGTATGTTTCCAAATACTTTGAAAGAGTAGCATGGCAATAAAGGTTATGTGTTCAATTTATGTAAGCTTGTTGGTCTATATTAGTTACATCAACAATACTGGTATTTTTTTTCTCATGCCTATTCAAATACTACAAAGCCACTTTGCATTTTCTAAGCATGCATGCTATAATTAATTGTTGTAGTTGAGTGAATGGTGTGAATGAAATTGAGAAAATTCAATGGGTTCCTCCTATCCTCTAGATCCTTTCTTTATTCCTCTCTTCAGATTTTCTGTCAAACATTGGGGTCAATCAACTTTCCTAATATCTGCTTTTTCTTTAAAGTATAGAACACAGTAGTGAAGTGCTTTCTAGAGTTTTGAAATTGTTTGTAGAATATTCCATTTATTGTGGTCTGATGAAGCTCAGACTGGGATGCAAATTTTAGGTGTCAAGTTTGATGTTGTCTTCTTATGTACTATCCTTTGATACTTTGATTACGAAAGTAATTTTCAAGCTTTATGTTGTGGATATATGATTTGCATTGCTCATTGGTATGTGCTTCTTTCTAAGTGAAATTTTATGTAGATTTGTGAAAAATTTAGTATCATAAATGTGTCAATGTTTTGAGTCCTTGCTTTGTCATCAGCAGCTTATATTTTTTTGTATTACTCTGAACATCACGATCACGTGTGTAATTCATGCACATGCACATCGTATTGTCTCGCCTTTGCTGCCTTGTGCTCTGTACTGCAAGTGGCATTGCTGGAAGTATTTCTCAAGGGGTGGTAACGAACTCAGAAGCTTGTGAAGACAGCAGCCGTCTTTGAATTAATAAGGTATGTGGAGTTCTTTAATGCTTACGAATGTGTCTTGGTACTAATTTGGATTAACTTGAATGACTTACAAAACTTGCCTTCATTTCTTTTCTTCTTCGGTATTGTGTATTAACATGTTAGTTGTTCTGCATGAAAGTCAAGATGCCTTCTATTATTCCAGGAGAGGTAACAAAATTTAATTTTGAAAAATTCATATAACAATATATAGAAAATACTAACAAATTTCTTTGTTGTTGTTGAAGATGGTGGATGTGGTAAATATATGCTTTGCAATTTTACTTTCCAATTTCTAAATAACTGTAGTGTGCATAACAAATGAAGAAAGCTTTTTGGGACTGCTTGCTTGGGTTGTTGTTAGTAGGCTTATGTTTGAAACAATACTTGTGTATGTTCATGAAAGAAAATAATGTTGTGGTTATTGTTTTCAAAAGTATTTTACTTTTAGGCGAGTTAGCATGTGTAGTTAGCATGTAGAATGGCAGTTCATTAAAAAATAAACCTGCAATTTGGATTGTTTATAGAGATTGTGATTGATATAAATTAGAAAATTGTATAAATACAGTGTTGATTCATTTTAAAAGTTTTCCTTCAAATGCAAGTTTAAAAAATAAGCAATTTTATGCAGAACTTAATGTCATTATATATTAAAAAAAACAAAATCAAACTTAGAACAAACAAACAAAGCCAAACCACTTACTAGTATTTTTGGAGTCTTCATTACACAGTGTCTTATGGTAACAATTTGCAAGGTATTTTAGGAGATGCATAACATACTATTGGTTTTCTTATTTATTGGTACTTTTCATTTAGAAATTTGTTCATTTGTCCAAGTATCATTGCATGTCCAAAGTATGTAACAGTATGTTAAACTATTTATAAAAAAATACATCTCTTGTGATATTTATGAAAAGCTTCTCAAAAGACAAATTTAACATAAGTTCATATATCTTTCAGTTTCGTAATAGTAGAGAAGTGTTGCCCGTGACCCCTTGTGTCGAGGGAAAAAGAATTGAAATAATTGAATAACTTCTGATTTGAAAGAGAAGGAATGAAATTTGAATGTACTCAGAGTTGTAGACATGAGAAAGCAGTTCAGTGTAAATTTCTGACCAATATCTGTGGAGTTTATTTTCTTATGGCATACATTGTGTAAGGGATTCCTAAATACCAGGGACATCTGATGTCGTCTTATTTATTCATCAATTGGATCTGTTCATAAAAAATGGAATTAGTTATTATACTTTCCATGTTGCAAATACAATTTGAAATACTTTTAACCTATTCTGAACCTCAACTTGTAGTTTTTAGTTGTGTCTTTGCAGATTTTTGTCTGATTTGTTGCATAATTTGAACTATTTTTATTTGCATATCTCTCACAGTAGCAAACAATATGGCTCTTCCTGAAAAAAGATTGTCATGAAGTGCCAATATTTTGTCCCACCTGGATCCGAATCCAGATCTCTCTGTTATCCAGACCAATGCTCTACCGACTGAGCTATGAAAGCAAGCATTTTTTTATTTCAAGACATTTTTAATGATCTTGTAGTGATCAGTGATCTTATGTAAGTTCAATTTGCATGAAGGTTGAAGATTTCTTTCCAAAAGCATGGACACTTATTTGTAGGAAATGTGAACCAAAAAAAAAACTATAATCATGAAGAAGAAGAATTATGAAATAATTGTGAATAGAAATCTCAACTGTTTTTAAGATAAATTTCAGGGACTTACTTCACGTTTGAATAATTAACATGATGCTACTTGTGTTTTGACTTTCGGATACCTGGAGATAAGATATGTAAATAGACTTGATCAATTAAGGAGACCCAATTTTTTTTTATGCTTAAATTCAGTGTGAAAATGGGAAATAGTATTGATGCTTATAGTACATATGATAAATTGTACTAATTTGTTCGATACAGTTATTGAATGCCAGCCATGAAATCAATACAGTCATTTCAGATATTAAATATTGTCTTTAATATTTAACATATTGATGAGGGATTCTCGTAAGCCACTCAAGCTAGTGTTGTATTTGAATGAAAACCATAATGATGTTACCGCATATTTTCATTACTAGTTGCCCAGAGGAAGGTCCCATAAATAGAAGACATGCAAACGAGAAAGGACTCTGAAAGATTTTAGATGTTCAAGTTCTGTTTGGAAATGGAAATATTATCAATACTTAAATAAATGTTAACCTGTAGTATTCATCTATTGAATTCACGAAGTTGGTGTAATAATTTCAATTATTAAATATGGTCTTTAATATTTATTACTTTGAAGAGAGATTCTCATAACACCACAGAAATCCACTTCAACATTTGTTCACCTAAAAACCGTGTGTGTTTGTGTTCAGATTAGTTAAAATGACATTCCTATTTTGTATAAAATGTTTTTGAATCTACTATAAACATCATTTATTGTATGATGTGGAAGTTAGAGAGTGAGTTTCAAAATTAAGAATTAATTTAAAGTTTTTATAAAAGTATGGGATATTGAAGAATGAAATATTTTTGTATTTATCGGGTCTCAAGAGAATGTCTAATGTCACAAACACTATTTTTGTTTTCTAAAAGTGACCATAAAAATAATTGAATACTAAGGCAGGCCATTTGTAATTCATGAGAAAAGTGATACCACGAAGAAATGAAATGAATTCCTTCGGGAGTGTGGTCTACAAAGGACCTGGAACCAGTGAAAGTCGGTCAAATACGAAAAGCTGGGCAGGAAAATTGCTTGATAAAAATATTGAAGTTCAAAAGTTGAAAATTGTTTGGTCCATCTGTGAAAGAAAGTTTATGAAGATTTCTATGCAGAACAAACTTTAATATTTTTAAAAATCAAGTGAAAGTGCATACATTTTTAATTACAACCTAATTTTATCCACAGGACTATGTATTTCAAAGTGAGCTGACAGTGAAAACAAAGGTTGTGGGAGTGAATGTCATGCCTTCCCATTTGTTTATCTTATGCTATAACGTATTCCAAAGAATTACCACATATCAATAACTTCTTCTTCCGAAGGATATTTCTATTATGAATATACTATTTTATTTGAAGCAAATTTTTTACATTTTTTTAAAAAATCTTTTTCATTGCTTGAAAAATATTTAGGGAGGGGAAAAATGAACTGGTTCCAACAAAATACTTTCTGAATCTTCCCCTGAACGTAAGTAGTGCTGATGTGCACAATACATTTCACTAAATAGCAATTTATACCTCATCAGTTTCTTTTTGTTTTATATGAGAGTTAGAAGTTTCCAGAAATCAGTCTAGACTACAATTTTTTTTATTTTTTTTATTGCAGAAGTTGAACTCTCTCTCTTCTCTTTTTATTTATTTTTTGTTATCTGGCCTCCACTTAAATAATTGAAAATATATGTTTCTATTCAGTGTTCATCAATATGTGATCTAGTTACTTCTTGTTCATTTTTATTCTTGGTATTAATAGTATTTTTCTTAATTTTAAGGGAAATCTTGACAAATTTCCAGAAACGTAAACTAGAATTTTATCATTTACTACGCCAATTTCTCTTTTTTTTTGATGGACAGATCACTAAGCACTGAAAAATGCCATTGGTGTCAATTTGATTAATTTTGAATTATAGAAAATATTAAAAATGAAATCACATGACATTTTGTTTGCTGGTGAATTTAGTTCGTAGTTTAATTGGCATGTATATTTCATAATTTATTGAATATATAAACAGTTTCTCTAAATAATGTCTTAAAAAGTTTCCAGAAGTCTCAAACAATTTCTAGTTTAAGCAAGCTCAAAATAAAGCAGTTTCAAAAACACCCAATGTACATTTTCCCCAAAACTGCTAATAAAATTCACAAAATTTATCAAATAAAAAGGTTTTTCTTTTGTATGTTTGAAAAAATGTTTTCTAGGCAAAAATTTGCATTTGCTGAAGCACAGAAACACTGCAGAAACATGTACATTGTTTATTATCTATAATATAAAAATGAATCACAATATGTGTTGGTAAGCGCATAACTTAACAACGCCTGTGCCAATTTGGCCAATTCTTTTTTTCTAATGTTCGTTAAAGTTCAAGGATGGTTTTTACGTCGAGAAAAATTCCAATAATTGCCGGAAAACCCTAATAACAGCCCTTTTCTTTTTCCCATACAAACG